GTAAATCATTTCCAATCTTCCGACCGATGACATACCATCTATTTACTTTCTCTACTTGCTAGACGCCACACTGCAAGGGGAATTTCTCCAGCCGGAAGTCGTCCGTATAATACGGAGTAGTATCTATTCAACTGACTACTAATAGTAGATTGTAAGTAGTTTAGCGGTCTGCTGCGGATTGGAGATTCTCGCAGGTTCCTTCCTTCCCGCTTCCAAAAAAAACATCATCTTTGCATCCTCAAATCAACATTCGGGCGGATGGTATGAGGTCAGCCCTCCAGAAGCAAATTCACAAACACAAAAGTACACCAACAATGGGCGCCTAGTGGTAGAAAAAAGAGCTAAGAGCGGGCGCTGCCTTGGTCAAGACCCAGGCATTCCAGACCCTGAAACCGGAATCTTGAACGAGCGCAGAATTTTCCATCCTGTCTAAACCTTCTAGACTTGCTTGTCTCTCTCTCTTTCTCTGTTCTGTCTCTACCGGAGAAGGCGGAGGGCGTAATTAAACCTCAACGGATGGGGACAAAAAAAACAAGAGGAGCAGAATGAGGCGCATCCCCCGGGAAAGGCAGGCACAAGGGGGAGAAGACGGCAATTTTTCCAGTTTTCATTTTATTTTGATTATTGTTTTTGATTTACAGTTTCAAGTCAGCCTCTCCCATTCTTTCTTCAATCCATTTCTGGCTCCTCTTTTGCTGCTGCTAAAAGGATCCACGGGCTGGCGGCTGATCGCAGTGGCCAGTGAGAGCACAGCTTGTCTTTCCCCCGCGACAACCGGCCCAACCTTCCGTCCACTGGTTGGTCCATCCCATCCTCTGCTCCCTCCCTGTTGACGTCGATGGTGCGCCTCGTCCCATCCCGGTGGGCCTCCCACTGCCCATCTGACACCATCATCCATACAGTAAAGGTAAAGTGAAGTAAAACCACCACCGCATCCTCTCTCTCTCTCTGCCTTTCCTCCACACCAGAAAAAGCCACACCCAAAACCATACCATACCATTCTCATCCCCAATCCTAGGTCAAACGTCTTGTTCATTCTCCTTCTATCCTTCTCTTCTTCTTCTTGCCTTTACCCCTTCCGGATTCATCACTCTTCCATATTTCCTATTCCCTTACATCTTTTCTCCCTTTACCTTTCTCTGTCTTCCTCCCCTCCTCCCCTCTCCTCTCTTCTTCTTACAAAAAAATCCATGCCCTATTCCTACCTGACCGGTTCTGATGTTGCAAGATCCCTTTCCCCACCATCTCAAGATCGAGTAAAGCAACAGTCTTCATTGCCAAATGTGGTGGCCATGGATCTCAATAAACGCCTGTTCCATCTCAATATCGAGAATAAGCCCCAAGCTCAACCCCTCAACTTCTCCATGGTAACCACGCCACCGGATGATGAGGATGATGACGAGGTGAATCATCTTAAACTCAAGGTCGAGTCGAAGCAATCTCCTCACGAGCATGACAAGCCCCATCCCCGTGAAAAGAACATGCCCGATACCGATGTGCAGCAACCTCCAGCGGCTCTAGGTCGAATATATCGCTATACCCCCATTCCCAGCGTCATTCTTGATCCTTCATTACATGTAGTGGAGGTATCTAATTCCCACGTGGCGTTCGCCGGGCTATCGAGGGACCTGTTACTCGGCCGGTTCATCTGTGACGTCTGTCCACGCATACTGCCGGCCATAGATATTGCTATTCTGTTTGGCGCATTGCGCGCCGCCATCACGACGCAGGACGTCCAGTCGATCGACAAAATCTGTATAGACGATGCTAGCGCTTGCTATACTCTTCGCATCACCCCCATATTTGAAAACTCTAATTTGTTATACATTGTCCTGGAGGCACTTGATATCACCAAGCGTCAGATTAAATCAGTGTCCAAATCCCATGGGTCTTACTCCAATGAGACCTACAAAGTTCTGCTTGACACGGTCAAGGACTATGCCATCTTCATGCTCGACACACGTGGCCATATTGTAACTTGGAATACGGGAGCAGCCCTGCTGAAAGGGTACTCGGCCAAGGAGATCATCGGACGTCACTTTTCCACCTTCTATAGCCTGGAGGATCGCATGGCGGATAAGCCCGGCAAAGAATTGGAGGTATGTCTTCGGGAGGGCAAAGTGGAAGACGAAGGCTGGCGGTACCGCAAGGATGGTTCTAGGTTTTGGGCCAACGTGTTAATCACCCCTATGTACGCTCTGGGCCGCCATATTGGCTTCACCAAGGTCACTCGCGACTTGACGGAACGCAATGCAGCCGAAGCCCGCATGATCGCGGCCTTTGAAGAGTCATCGAGGTTGAAGACTGATTTCCTTGCCAACATGAGTCATGAGATTCGCACGCCAATGAACGGCATGCTTTTAGCCCTCACATCGCTGATGGCCACGGACATGAACGAACAGCAGCACGAATATTCCTCTATCATCGAAGATTCGACCAACGTCTTGCTCCAAGTCATCAATGACGTCCTCGACTATTCCAAGTTGTCCTCGGGGTCTTTCACTCTACATCCCGATACTTTCAGTGTCGACAGTATCACAAACGCGGTCGTGCGTAACTGCAAGGGCGCTCTGAAACCCGGCGTTCAAATGACCAGCTGCATCTCACCCAACTTTCCGTCCCAGGTCGAGGGTGATCCGTTGCGGTATCGCCAGGTCCTCCAGAATCTTATCAGCAATGCAGTCAAGTTCACCGAGGAGGGATACGTCAAGATTAACACAACTTTCTCCGAAGATGCGGAGGATCCCAGTGTATATAACATCCGGACCGAGGTTGCGGATACGGGAGTTGGTGTTCCCGAAGATGCTATGGGCTCGTTGTTCACACCGTTCACACGCTTCGCCGAGTCTGGTTCGAAGAGGTATCAAGGTACGGGCCTCGGCTTATCGATCTGCAAGAGTTTGGCCGAACTCATGGACGGCAGTGTCGGATACCGGCCCAATCCTGAGAGAAATGGCAGTGTCTTCTGGGTCACAGCCAAGATGCATCGGGTGAGCGTGACGCCGCCCGCTAGAATGACTGGGACATTCGTTGAAGACGTTGGTGATATCGAGCGAAAGATCCATGACATTGCTCCTCACAAACACGTTCTCCTGGTTGAGGATAACTTGGTTAACCAAATGATGATGCTCAAGCTTCTCCAGAATATGGGCTTCGCGCGGGTTGATACAGCATGGGATGGAGCCGAGGCGGTTCGACTGGTCAAGCAGCAGCCTTTATCCTACAATACCATTCTTATGGATATCGGCATGCCGGTGCTGGATGGTGTACAGGCGACACGACAGATCCGGCAAATGGAACTAGAGATGCCCATCATTGCGCTTACAGGGAACGTTTTGCCAGGAGATATAGAGCATTATATGAAGCAGGGAATGAGCGACCATATCGGGAAACCCATCCATCAGAAACAGTTAATGCGTCTGCTCTGGAAGTGGATGGGGACATGATGGCCTGGCAAGCTTGCCCTCTTTCTTACTCTCAGCAATTGCTGGACTACAAACAACTGTCCTAAATGTGCCATTATACCAGCGATCTCTGACATGCTTCACGCGCACACATTTTGTTTGTTCTCGGACGACCTACTAAAGTCTGTCCCCGAACAATAAACCGAGCATTACTGACACCGCTATCGCGTTGAACCAACCTGCCGATCACGCTGCAAAGCAGTACGCTCTAGGGCAGTCGACGTGACGAGCCCAGGTGCTCAAGAACAGAGAACCATTCCTGTAAAGTGGATTGGTTTCCAAGACTACAATATGCAAGACACATGATCTTCTCTTATCATGACGCTTACGATGGGAACATACTACCTCAGTTTATGAATAGAGCATTCGATACCACCGTACCATACCATACCATTTCTGTACTGTATTGGCTAATCTAACAAAATTTCAGGCTATCAGCACTGCTGGGCGATGACTGATGGATCAACCTGGATACAATTCTTGGGATATGTTTATTGGGGAAATGAAAAGTGCCGTTACCGTTTGCATTATATTGTTCTTGTAGGGGAAGCATCCATTGCCTTTATAGTAAGTTAGTAGGTAGCGCCTTGTTTGGGACTTGGACAGTATACCACGTACTATTATTCTCCTAACCTCCATCCATCTTGCTCTCTTCTCTTCTCGTCCCCAAACTGTAAAACGGTAGTAGTAATAGTAGTAGTAGTGGCATCTCCACCCTGAAAATTCCTTTGCTACGTAGTACTAAATCCCTCAGTTAACTCTCATTTGAGAACCAGTATGCATGATATTACATAGTAGTTAATCCAGTGGCATATTGTCCTTCCCCGAAGTAAGTAATTCCTAACAGAATTCCTACTTTATATGCCACCCCCCCTAATACCATGAATATAGTAAGTTAAGTAGGTAACAAAACAAAACCCCCGAAACCACTTGAAACACAGACTATGCGACGGTTACCGCGCCCTTGTTTGGCACAGATACACCAGCGAAAGTGACATGTTAACTTCAAGTTGAATGCACGTATATAGTTAGTTAGCTACACTGGCTGCAAAGTAGATTTGATGTCATCATAATGGAAGCGCGGGGAGGGGGCGGGGAAGGGAGAGAAAGAGGGACGTGCGCTGCTGCAGGACACTACTTTGGGTATTGGGATTGGGCTGGGGTTGTGGCTTAGATACACTGTATTTTTTTTTTCTCAATGATGTGTGTGTGACTGGTCATGTAGAATGTACTCCGTACATGTGGTAGTTGGTTTAAATTAGTTACTTACTTGTCCTGTATGCATGCATGTATGCATGATGTAGTGTGTATGTATGGATAGATGGATGGAAGGGGGCTGGTTCAAGGGGCTACACTACTAACTAATTGTATAGTTAATTATAATTACTGTGAAGAGAGGATGTTGGCTAATCTTTTATTTATTTATTGATTTATTTATTTTTGTCGACAAATCAGCACAATGATCTATTATTATATTATGTCCATGAAGTGGCAGGGATCCGCAGAATCAACCCCGATCAATCATGGTTCGATGATGAGAAACACTCGTTAACTTTATAATGTCCATCCTGACCCGTCTCACTCCTGGCTATGCTGCAGCCTTGGGCATGATGCTTTCATATGAATGACTAAAATAGAAAAGGGCAAAAATAAAACAACAAGGATGATGGAAATGAATACATAAGATGCCGAGTAGACATGAGCACCGGACAAAAAATGTAATAAAATAAATACTCCGTAATAAAGGGGAAAGAAGATGTTAAAATTCTGTCTTGAACAAGGTCCAAACAAAGCTGTCGTAAATGTTCCCGTTCATACAATATAAACAAACCCCATGATGAGAAAATTCATACAGTCCACGTGAGTAGTGGATTGTGGATTGGGAGATACATAAATCTCCACAGGAATGGAGATACTCCTGAAATGATAGTTCAGTTCTTGGAGTTGACGGGCTTGCCGTTGATCAGCACCTGCGGAGTCTGGTTCTCCTTGCCACGTGCAGTCACATTGGTTCCCTCAACGCCGGTAGCAAGGGTGGCGTGGGTGTTCGTGTCCGGCACAGGGACTTCCTCCTCCTCCGAGTCTTCGTCTTCGCTTCTCTCGTCCTTCTTGACGTTGGTGAAGATGTAGTTCTTCAGGATGCGCAGGATCAGGAAAAGCCAGAAGAGGTTCACGGCTTGCAGACTAGCCAACAAGGCAAAAGTAATGTACTGACTGATCCAGCACTTGTACTGTTGAGTCTCCCAGTTCAGCTCGAACGGTCCAACCGTGCGGAACTCGGTCAACACAGCCCAGAGGATCTTGAGGTTCAGATAATGGCGAAGGTAGATCCACATCCCCACAAACATACCAAAGTAAGGGACAGTGATGATGTGGTCGAGGTAATTCAAGGTCTTGGAGGTCTGCATGGCAACTCAATTAGCACAAAGATCAGGAGTGTAGACTTCGAATTCGGTTACTCACAGCAAGGAAGAAGTCCGAGATGTCGTGCGTAATGTAGACGGCGATACCCATGTAAGTGAAGTGGAAGCGATAACTCAATCCGATCAAAGCCAGAGTGATGATGTGGTGTCCCACCAGCTCCTTGAAATCCTTGCGCGGCTTCTCCAGCTGCAGCATCAGGACAATCGCCTGCTGGGCCCAGTAACTAGCCTCAAGCAGATAGAATGCCTTGAACAACCCTTCATGCTCCCGGTGGGGGAACCCTTCGAACATGGCCGTAGTGTTGAAATACCAGATATCCGACCGGCTCATGACGTACAGACCAAATGGACCGAAGATGCCAAAGTAGATCGCAGTGTAGACTTGCTCCATGAAACGAGCAGTCTTACCCCGGCCCCGAATCCCACAGTATACGGCGAAAGGCCGGATCAGGCGCTGCATCAGGAATTCCCGAGTAAATGACAGAACAATCGTGTAGAACGAAACAAAGGTAATATCCTTGGGACCCTTTCCATACATGATCGGACCACCGGGGACCTTCGGAGGCAGAGGATAAGACAAGAAGATGGCGCTATGCATGGGATTGGACTCGGTCGGGTTGATGGCGTAGAGCGACAGAAGAACGACGAGCATGAGGAGAGGCAGAAGCCAAGTATGCTTGAGACACGCATCCTTGAAGCGACGGAGCGGGGACTTCTTGCGGCGCTTCGTATGCGGCTTGGAAAGTTTCTCGGCGGATTGATTCTGCAAGGCCTGGGGGAGGAGTGAGCGGGGGAATGGAGAACCCCAGCGAAAGTCGACTTCGAGTCGTGAGAGCTTCATACCTTGTCCCATTTAGGCGCTTCGGATTCAATGGGGCTGACTTCGTTCATGGTGGACATGGCGGGAGCGGTGGTGTCTCCCCGAATATCCGCCCCCAGGTTACTGGACCTTCTCCGTACACGAGCCATGATTGTGTCGTCCAAATTTTCTGTTGATTGTTCTTGACGATCGAGTAGTCGCTGTTCTCACTATTCATCGATTAGAGCGAGGGAGGGGAAGAGAGGAGACGGGACAAGATACCGAGCGGAGCGGAATGGGCGAAACGAGGTTCGAGAGTAGAAGAACCTCGGCGATCGAATTGAACAAGGATCGGACGGGTATGAAAGGGAGGGACTCGAATAAAACCCCAAGACAAATAGTATTACAAAAAAAGAAGACGACGAAGCGAATAAATAGAGAAAAAAAGAAGTGAGAAATTGGACGGGGGAAGAGGAAAAAAAGACAGGCTGGAGGAGAGCGACAGCGAGGAGAGTGAGAGAGTGAGAGTGAGAGAGAGTTGAGCGGGTTGATGTCAGTCGTGCGAAGGATCCACTTTCTGTTGGCCAGGGGTTCCCTTTTTTTTTTTTTTTTTTTCTTTTTTTTTTTTTTTTTTTTCTCTTGTTTCTCCACCGGCTCCTCTCTCTTCCTCCCAACCAGCCCATGGATGATCGTCGGCTTTGCCGGACCATCCCCAAATCATCCTTTTCTCATCTTAGCTTGCGAATCATAAGCATTCACTATTTTATGATCGCATTTGCATAATAACGCACGCACACACACATGAAATGTTTTAGGTGTATCAAATACTGGGGTTGGGATTTTCACAACACAGTATCCTCTAGTCTGGGCAACGGAACGAATACGACCGAATTGGGGATCCATCGAGGCTACCTTGGATCTGAGGCAAGATTTGTTTGTTGTACTAGCCCCCGATCCCCGTGCAACTAAAATCTACCTAAATAGGGGGGCTTTTCAATTCCAGGATAAGCTACCACCGCCACACCCTTGCTCCGTGCGGAGTCGTATTCTCGCCAAATCCTTTGGCTGGCCCGAACTGGAAGACCTTGCGATGAGTATGGAGTAGTTTCACCAATGGACTGGGGTTGAGGAGATGAATGTACGTGTCCTCCAGGGAGAAAGGCCACGATGACATACGAACGAAGAACACTGTCTAAGCCTCATTGCGAGTGACTTATAGTATACAACACGAAAATAAGCAGAACTCACGACCGCCTCTGCCGGTCTAGAGCGGATAAATCCTCCGTAATCGAAAGTCTACGAGAACCATACCAGTTCCAGCTTGGCTCGCATAGTCAGCCTTCTCCTCTATCACGGAGCCTGTTCACAACGGCGTGGTTATCTACAAAGTTCTAATATTCCGTCCCCAGCCTCTGGATCCAGGGAGTGGTAACCAGCCTTGTCGGCGACAGCGAACAGCGAATTCATCTCCAATTTGTCACCGACAACCATTGTCAGCCTCGGTATACCGCATCGACTATACTTAGATCTGCAACTGCGGCGACAAATTCTGCAGTCGCATGCCAGACTAGACTCAATATTAGACAGGAGTGGAGATCACTTTCCCTAATCAAGAGGGTAATCGAGTAGTAAGTGCTAAGGGGGTCAACCATTTGTTTCAGTCGCACTGGCTTGTAAATCGAACCGAACAATGATTTGTATGTATATCATCTGTAGCCAGCCAAACATCTTATAATAAGAACAATCACAAGCAGATATCCAGTCAATGATGAAAGTAACCCGGGGCTGACCGAGAAAAGAAGCTCCGTTGCTGGGGTAGCCGCGCCGGTGGACGCGTTAAGTGGTTTTTGCCCGCGAATCGATCTTGACCGCATCGGTCCAACTTGGATCATGCACGATGCTGCTGATGATGCCTGACATTTGACATCTGCCTGCTCCAGAAGATATGAGGATCTATCCGCCACATTCCTCTTTGCTCAAGCTCAGATGCAGTCAGCCCTCGACTGCTGCACCCCTGGAATCCTCACCCTCCTCTTCCCCGATCCATCACCGCTGTCTCCCCGATGCCACTCCGTCAACCCGCTTCCCCGCTCTCCTTGGAAACAATCTCGCCTTCCCCGCCAGACCTCGACTCCGATCCTCTTATCGCTTCCGACGATGATCTAGAAGAAGGCGACCGGGCTGCTCGGGATCAGCGCATAGAGAAGCTGGCCCAGGCCTATTGCCATGGCACCCCACTTTTCATCTTGTCCGCTTCACTTCGCGGACCCTTCGACAACGGATGGACCAACCCCTGGAGGAAAGACAGGCAAAAGACTGGTGGCCATATACGGACAGGAGGGAAGCATTTGGAACATCCGGAAAGACCTATTATCCCAGAGACAGTGCCGCAGAAACGGCCCCTATACCGCGAATCGCTAGGCATATCTCGCTCGAAGTCTGCTGTTCCTCTTTCCGACCCATCATATTCCACGAAGAAAAGAGAGTCTCAAGCTGGCACTACGGGTGAACGGTCGGCCAAACGGCCACGAGATAGCCGTGGTCGGACATCAAGCTCGAACAATACACCAAAGCCAGTCGCACTGCACAAGAGGACAATTGAGACCAGTGGACACTCGGATGCGTTGACCCCATTCCAGCATACAGAGCAAAGCTGGCTGAAGAGGGACCGTGCAGAGATCAACTTCCGGAAAGTTGATCCACCCACTTCTCCTACAACTACGATATCGTCTCGATATCGGGAAGGAGGGCATTACACAATACAAGTTCCGGGCACAGATTATCGAGTCACAACGAAGAATTTAATAAAAGCTCGTACAGGCTCTCGAGACGAGACTACCTTTGACAGTCGTGTGCCGGACAGTGTCAAAGCTCAACTCACCAACAGACATCCTGGGGTCCGACTAGAGACGGAGGATCATGAGAACTCAATTTGTGTACTCTCGTCAACTTCCCACCTATCCAAGTTTGAATTCCGTCGTAGGAAACGCTCCGCTGATCCGGAACATGGCACCACCTCGCCAGTCCCGGTGCACGCGGATGAACAGATCTCTCACCAGACAACTGTTGTCGAAGACAGCCGGGTCTCAAGTCAGCCCGCACCAGTACCTCCAAACACAACTTCAATGCAGGCCGTTGAAGCCGATGTGCATATGAGCGAAGACAATCCGCATAATCCAATCGTATCCGACCGTTCTGGTACTGTTGATCACCCGGGAAACTCTCAGTCACGGAAAGTATCATCAACCACCACCGCTGAAGGTGTCAATATCAGCGATAAATACCCCTCTGCCCAGCGAGTGCCGGCAAATCCAGCTCTGGCTGAAAATGTCACCTCACTGCAAACGATCTCCGCGGCGAAGCCCAATTCAGAATGCGATAACGACACCATTCCGGACCCACAGTTCAACACACAGGCAGCGCTCTTCCACGCGCAGAAATCCTTCCAAAATGATCTGGAAAGCCAAGTTCCCAACCCAGGAGAAACTCACAACCAACCTTCATCACCCGCCAACGACATTACCCCCTTCCATCGAATGAATACCAGCAGAGTTGGTAAATACTCCCGAGCAAGACCCCCAGGAACTGCACATATGCCGATGAGCACTCAATGCATCATCGACGCCGTCACGCCCTTCACCTTTAGCACAGAAAAGAAAGCCAGGTCTCGATTCATTTCTCCCCAGATGCCATCGTCGAGTAGGATAGATCGGGGGACTGCCACCCCTAACACAGGCTCACCATCATCCTCGGAATCGGAAGACGAGGACGAGGATGAAGACGAAGGCGAAGACCCAACCATCCTCCCGCTCAAATCCCCCGCTGCCCAACAACAAACCCCAGACGACACCCAACAAAGCAGCGCATTGCCAATAGCTTTGTCAAACTCCCATCCTACCACCATCCAAGACGGCCAAGGTGTCGCCCCTGGCCCGGACAGCTTCAACCTAAGCCAGGCAATCGCCGACGCGGGGAGCTGGTTACAGCAGAGCTTCGACATCAATCATGAGATCCAGCAGTGCAAGAGCAGCGCCAAGTCGAGACCGTCGTCTTCGGCGGGAATTAGTCGCTCGGCGGTAACGTTGGATAGGTGAAGGACGGAGATTATTACATGCATAGCAGGCGTACTGGGCTTTGGTTTCTACAATTTTATTATTTACTAAGGGGTGGGTATATATATGTCTTTGTGGTTTATTTTGTCACAAGCCTTTATGTCCTAGCTTTACACTAGCTCGCTTCAGTTTGGACAGTCTTCTTTTTTACTTGGGGCAGCGCGATTGATATCCTTGTATATACTAGGTCATAGATGGTCTCCGACACGGACAATCAGATGTTTCATTTGTGCATAAGCAGAATAACAGAGGATAAACCTACGGCTACTAGACACTTGTGCTTACAGTATTGGACATCAAATATAAAGTCAGTATCATCATTTTCCAATTTGTTAAAGAGCCAAATCTTCCAGTTCTTGTAATTGAAACAGACAGAGGCGCGATGAGGCACCGAGGGCGACTATCTACCATTCACAGAAAAGGCATTTACTCCAGCGCAGCAAGTCTCTAACATGAAAGGCCAGTCTCGCCCTTGGTATCCACCGGCTTACTGAGAAAAACCCGAGTAAATAATTCAACCGGTGCCTTATCCCTCCATTCAAAGCTGTAAAGTTTCGACTGTCTGATCACCAACTTCCCCTGGTACATACACGCAGCGAAAATTCTGGCATGTTGTGGAAGGACACAAGAAATGAGCAGAACAGGAAATATTTCCTCATCAGGAAAAGTGAGTAACCAAGGCCGGGGTAAGATGTCTCTGTAATCCTCTCCGGCCTCGTCTCGATTATATGAATCCTTTCGTTTTGACTCTGAATCGATCCTTGGTTGTTGTGCGCGACCTCGCATGGCTTTAACCAATGTACTGAATTCAGAAAAGAGGATTGAGTTTTCGCGAGCCTCCCTTTTTTCAACAAGGTGGAGGGCGATATGGGGGTATTCATTCCCATTAACAGGTTTGGGCTCTACCGCAAGAGGATTTTTCCACCAACCTGTTTTACCGTAAGGTCTTGCGAGGTTCGCTTCCAAGAAGAAGGTAGTGTCAGGCTGCCTGATATGTTATAAATATCTTGTTAGAGAGGAGGATCATCCGCTATAGAATGCATTCAAGGTAATTCAAGATAAACTTACACAACAACCTGGAGGTTTTGATGAGATATTGCTTTGCCGGTTGCATGGATTGAAATGATCTTGGAAATCTGACGGCAACGGGAGGAAGTCGATACTGGCAATCCATCGTGGGTCTGTTCCTCGTCTATATTGAACATGCGGCGCGCATGTACAGGATCAGGTGGAAACATTTTCAACTCGGCGGACTGCATCGGTTCAAAGTAGAATGGGGGCACCAGTTCTTTGTCCAAATGCTCGAAATCAAAGTCTATCATATGTTCAACATTCTCGAGGCCATGGGGATCTATGTGGCCGTCATCAGGCACACTATCTTTAATTTCCAGAACATGTTCATAGAGTTTGTCAAGAACTTGGCGAACCATACCGTTATCCGGAGGCATTGTGCAGGAACTATCGATTGGAGCAGACATTTGACTTTTTTTGAATGGGTACTTAGTTGTCAGTGGGATGCGTGAATTCGTATGTGCAGCGTGGCGGTTGTATTATATTGTTGTTGACAATTAGGTGAGAGCCACTCTGCGAAATCTGCATCGGAACTGTTCAATGCTAGCATATATAGGCTTGGCTGTGAAGTTCGGTAGCAAAGATACTGTTCACCCACATGATCAATTTTACTGGTATCTCCCGCATCGAAAAGGTGTCTAGTGGAGACGGCTCTGTAGCAGGTATTTTATTATTTCCAAACGGAAACCATAGTAGCGGGGAGTGCCTTCTATACAAACCTACAACACTGATGTTATTAATGCTCCATGGACCCAGTCCAAGAGGGTTATGATCCTAACACTGCTATTTAATGGCAGATTCCGAATTTCGGCAAGCATGACCGGGCAGATACTATGTAACAAGCAGAACATCAGGTAGTTTGGGTGCGTACACAAAGTGTCAAGATTCTCTCAATTGCTAAAATGCACAAAAGCCAAGAAGACAAAGGATAGGTTGAAATGTTTCACTTGAAGAGACCATGCATCAACCAGGGATCAAACAAGAGCTCCTTCGCAGTAGCTCTTTCCTCCGGTAGCCAGCAAAGCATGCGCCTGAAGAATCGCAAGAAGTCTTCCTTTTCGCTGTCTTCAAGTCTTTCTTCCAGAGTCTCGAGATCGTGATCCGGAATTGGAACTGGACCTTTCCATTGGCCTAGAAGCAAAAATGGCGTTATTACTTCTAGTGCATTTACACGACGGCTTCGGGCATGGGAGGGTTGTACAAACCGTTGGCATCCCAAAATTGGAGCGACCTCCCGCTTCGAGCGAGAAACTCTGCAGGAGGCCTTCCTAGAACAGCTTGCATTTCTGCTAAATGCTGTCCATCATCCAGCTTTTCCTCGTCATTCCGGGCCTTGAAAAGGTGACGATGTTCTGAAAGATCCCAAATCTTCGGCTGCTGTCAGCCTTTCATCAAAAATCGGTACCAAGCTAATAAGTCACTTACCACCATCCCAACGTTCCAAGGTACAGGACCTTCAACCTCCGCTTCTTCGAAACGCGATAAAATTGAAGTATCTTTGATACCAAGAAGAATATTATTCGGTTGGGTGTCTGCAAAACCAGTCAATTTTGGCCAAGAGCAAGTCTAACCGTGGCAGGTTAATAGCTCGCGTGAAAAACTGAGTGACTGACCTGTATGTATGACTTGTGCTTCGGTATGAAGGAAGTCTAGAGCCGCGAGGATATTTCGCATAGTGGTTCTCACCATAGAGCTACTCATGACCTTACCAGGGAGGAGTGGTGCGAGCTGGTCGAGGCTTATGCCCAGCGGCGGATGCACAAGACATGTATGAATTCTATGCGCATCCGGATTCCGAACCTGAAACGTTTCAATCAACGGTCGCAGACATGACTGGCCTGCGTGATCGGACTGTATTGTTCTTAGGTGGTTATAAATCTCAAGTTTCTGAGAGACGGATGTTGAAGTGATGTAGACTTTTAGTGCTACATAACAATGGCCCCTATCTGGTTAGAACGAGTTCACCGTGTGATAAAAGCAGTAGGTCCTACAAGAGATCACGGCATAACCACACTGTCGCAGTTGAACCATAGCCGAGCTTGCCGACCACTTGATATCGATGGTTGAAAACTTCACCAATACGAACTGGATAGAACTTCTCGAGTTTATAAGTTGGAATATTTTCTTCTTCAACCAGGAAAGAAGGTTCGATGTTCTCCCATCCAGAACTGGGGAAGACTCGGGGTTCTGAGCGGGACCGAAGATCAGTTATAGTGCGCGCGCTTGGCCTTATATATGATATTCTTGCAATTGATGAATATTTTGGTATGCAAACAGATGAGTGGTACTGTTTATATATCCGGTAGAGTTGTCACCTTGGCTCCATGGTGGGTTGGTGGTCAAGTTGATTGCTTCCTGGGGTTTGTTTTGGCCGAATTCGGATGTCACATGCTTAGCTGGATATATCACCATTTGTCAGCCACAATTACTTCTACAAGCATAAGAGTAGTAGTTGTGGCATACTTTAAAAGTCTGGTGGTAGTATACTATGTATATATACTGCCTAGTATCATCGGCATTCTACCTTTTTCGCGTAAGTAAGTAGCTATCTAGAAAATAATCCTGGTCGCTCTTGTCCTGCGATCCTTTGAAGACTTTAGGTACAATTGGAAATTCCAGTTTAAAATTATCACTGACTGTAACAAGTCAGGAAGCGCTTTTGATTTCTGCTGGAGATGATGGATTGTTTTCATACTAGATAGATTTGATGACGTCGGAAGACCCAGGGGAGTTGGGGACACTAAGGCGGCGCTAATGCGGCGGAGTTCATCCACTGCCAGCATCTCCGCCGAACGGTCACCGCAGCTTGCTTCTCATCGCATCCTTGCTATCGTTGTCGTTGGTCCACGGGTGGGCCACGTCCAGATGGCGTTGACATCAGTAAGGAAATTCATTCTATGCTGAATGCGATTGGGTCTCAACTAACCCGACTCACGTGGAACTAGTGGAAAGCGTTCAACTTCTTCGACGTCTCCGCAGTGAAGCTGCCGGAGGAGAGCTCCTCGATCTTCAATGTACCCCCTCCCTCCCTTGGCCTCTCCGCTACACAAGTCCGTCGCGCTCACACTTAACCTTGGAATGACACTAGTCTGACATTATCTCCCTCTCCACCGGCTCTGCGAACATCTTCCTCGGCTCCAGCGATGGCTTTGTCCATATCATCTCGACGAACTTCAAGCTTGTCCGGTCATTCAGGGCATCGGAGACTGGATCGATCGCGCACATCAAGCAGATAGAAGGGACCTCATTGTTGGTAACAATAGCGGAGGATCTCCCCAGTGAGGCAGCTCTGAAGGTCTGGGCCCTCGACAAGTCCGAAAAGAAAACCGGTGCCCCTCGATGCCTATCGACAACCCATGTCCAGAACGCCAGACGGATGTTTCCCGTACGTATAATAGCTCGAAATGCGCTACCCTCTTTGTCGGCTTGATACTAAATGACTGCGGGGCAGGTATCTGCTTTCGCGGCGCTCGATGATCTGTCGCAGGTGGCAGTTGGTTTCGCGAATGGATCCGTTACGATTATTCGTGGTGATCTGATCCACGACCGCGGCGCCCGACAGCGGATTGTGTTTGAATCGGAGGAGCCAATAACGGGACTGGAGGTGCAGAGTGGCCCCGTATCGACATTGTACATTTCGACTACGAATCGCATCCTGGCCCTGGTTATCTCAGGAAGGGGGCAGGGACAACCGGCTCGCGTACTCGATGATATGGGATGTGCTGTTGGCTGCCTAAGCTTGGATAGAGACACGGGCGATGTTCTTGTCGCCCGGGAGGATGCGATATATACGTACGGACCACATGGCCGAGGCCCGAGTTACGCCTTTGAGAGTCGTAAAGACTCCGTCACCACTTTCAAGGACTATGTGGCTCTAGTTTGCCCACCTAGAGAAACGGCCAGCAAGCCTGACACTCTGAGAAACATTGGCGTCGGGCAGGCAGACGACATATTCAAGACAACCACATTCACCCTGCTCGATACTGATTTGAAGTTCATCGCGCACTCCGAGTCCCTCGTATCTTCCGTGAAGAACATCTTCGTTGAATGGGGAGATTTGTTTCTCCTCACTACGGATGGAAAGGTATGTTCATATCATTGAGTGTCATAGCTATGGCTCACACGAATCAGCTGTATCGGTATCGTGAGAAAAGCCTTCAGCAGAAGCTCGAAATCCTGTACCAGCGCAACCTATACATCTTAGCGATCAACTTGGCACAGAAGACCGGCGTTGATACACTCCAGCAGAATGCGATCTACCGGAAATACGGTGATTTCCTGTATCAAAGAGGCGACTACGACACGGCAATGCAACAATACCTTCGAGCGATCGATAACACGGAGCCATCTCAAGTGATTCGGAAGGTTGTATCCTCCGCAGCATTAGCAGAAGAAATTGTCGCTAATGGTTACATAGTACTTGGATACCCAACGGATACACAATCTCATCGAGTACCTTGAAGAGCTTCACGATCATGACCGGGCCACAGTCGATCATACTACCCTGCTCCTCAATTGTTACGCAAAGCTGAAGGACACTGGCAAACTTGATGCGTTCATCAAAGCTCCTGGTGAGCTGAAGTTTGACCTGGAAACGGCAATTGCTATGTGTAGGCAAGGTGGCTACTATGAGCAAGCGGCGTACTTGGCTACGAAGTATGGCGAGAATGATATGGTGGTCGATATCCTGATCGAGGACTCCAAGAAGTATGCGGAAGCTGTCGAGTATATTTGGAGGTTAGACCCGGAATTGGTTCGTGCACGCTCATCGATTCGACCCTACTTTGGTCACTGACAATTCCAGGCCTACCACAATCTAATGAAATATGCCCGAGTACTGCTATCCAACTGCCCTGAGAAAACCACAGAGCTTTTCATCAAGTACTATAAGGGCCAATATACTCCCAAGACCGAGGTCGAAGCGCCGTCTATGGAACCCCAAGCACAGCCGACCAGTACTTTGCAGAGCTTAGCTGCTTTCCTCCCCCTGTCTTTGATCAACGCTAGCGCGGGCTCAAAGCCGGAAGTGGAAGCACCGCCAGTCGAAGACAAGGCTACCGAGGAGTTGGTGGAGTATCAGATACCCAAACCAAGAACAGCATTTTCGGCGTTCGTGGGCCATCCGGATGAGTTCATCTCCTTCCTGGAAGCTCTCATTCAGCAAGATAACTTGAAAGAGGATGATAAGATAGACCTCTACACGACTCTGTTTGAAATGTATCTGGATACTGCAAGTCGACAGAAAGATGCCGCGCAGAAGGTTGAATGGGAGGACAAAGCAAAGAAGCTCATTGAAGGCAAGGATGTAAGGAGACTCACTTGTTTCTTTCTGCTAAAGTTTGCTAATATCCGTTTAGATACCAATCTCCACATCGAGTGTGCTTCTGCTTTCTGATCTTTCTGGCTTCCGTGAGGGCTCCACGCTCGTACGGGAGCAAGAAGGCCTCTTGTCAGACATTTTCAGGTCGTTCACCTCCGCAAAGGATACTCAGGGTGCCATCAAAGCGTTGAAGAGATATGGCCCTGAGAAGCCTCAATTATATGTGGATGCACTTACGTACTTCGCCTCGAGCCCGCAGATTCTGGAAGAAGCTGGCGATGAATTGGACGCCGTGCTCAAGAAGATTGACGAGGGAGGGCTCATGACACCACTTCAGGTTATTCAGACTCTGAGCAACAATGCAGTTGTCACAATGGGTCGCTTGAAGAAGTACCTCAGTGACAACATTGAGCGGGAACGAAAGGAGATCTCTACTGTTGGTTGCCTCCGCATTCATTGACTTCCTCAAGCTAACGATAATGTAGAACCGCCGCCTGATATCTAGCTACAGCACCGAAACGGAGAACAAGAGGAAGGAGCTTGAACAACTGGGTAGCAAGCCTGTTGTCTTCCAGGCCCGTCGGTGCATGTCCTGTGGTGGCGCCCTGGACCTTCCTACGGTGCACTTCCTTTGCAAGCATTCATTCCACCAACGGTGTCTGAACCGAGTGGACGAAGACGCTGAATGTCCTGCTTGCGCACCGCAGAACTCCACTATCAAAGCTATTCGGAAGAGACAGGTCGAGTCTGCTGACCAGCACGATCTGTTCAAGGGTGAACTGCAACGCTCCAAGGACCGATTTGGGGTGGTCAGCGAGTTTTTCGGGCGGGGCGTGATGCGACCCCAAAGTACTATGGAATGATGAGGCATGTAATGAACTGGAAGATACCTTTATGTAGATGCATCATGTTGTTTTCTGTTCTTGTTTTACCCGCTTTCCGAGAACTTATACCTCAGGCACCAAATGCTTATCAGCACGTGCTTTCGCGTCGCTCCGCTCCCCGGATTTGCGGGACGCGAGTGAACCATCAGCCAGACTCATAGCCTTAAATGATACCAGATCGCGTGTTCCTTCAATTCTATCTTCCAGACGTATAACTAGACCGGTCCAATGTCCTCTAGCCGTGTGATTCAGGACTCGGACGATGAAGACGATCCTTTGGCGGGGCCCATCTCCCCTCGACCCAGAGTCGATAACACAGACCTTGACATCCGGGCGGGTTCAGGACATTATCAAGCCCATCAGACCAGCCATGACTCGCACATGAATGTCAATTTCGATCAATTCCTGCAATCGCAAGATTCCGCAAATTATGGGATCTCATCCTCCCAGCAACGAAGAGAATCTCGATGGATACCGGCCGATGCGGGGGGCGGATCGATTGGTGAGGGATACGCCAAGTCCATGATTGGATTGTTCAACCACTGACAAGCATACCTACATCCATAGGGTTAATGATGACGGAGATCGGAATTGCACAGCAACGACTATTTGACGACGATGAAGCACACTATACAGAACAAACTGGATATCAGTACACCGGTGACATGGACACCGCGCAGACGGAATCGGCAGCTGTTGAGGAACAAATAGCTGCAGAATTCCCCCCGCATGACGATATCGCCTTAGTACCTAATGAGCATCACCATGGCTACTCAGAACAACCGCCTCTATATACTGAAGCGCAGCCTGATATATCCGATACTCTGCCCTACGGAACCGGACAGCACCCGCTTGACGCAGCGAACCTATATACCCACGAGCCAACTGCGCAGCCCAATGATCATACGAGCTTCAACTACTCGGTTACGACAGGCGCATCCTACAACATGTTCGAATCGTCTCTCCGCCCATCAGGCAGCTTTGACCCAGAGAATAACATCCCTACCCATGCAACCGGCACCGTCGACACCGAGGTCGCATACAAATTCACTCGGCGATGCGACTCCGTCCCACCTGTCCCCTTCTCCCCACACGACACAGAACCATTCTCCTCCGTGGTATCCCCCAAAGCCAGCCGATCGAAAAGCGACAATGCAGTGCAGCAATCCCATCAAAGCGTCGATGAGCTCAACGGCCCGGTGACCATCGAGATCCCCGTGGCGGAGAAGAAACAACGAGGCCGCAAGAAGAAACAAAGCATCCCCGAGCACGACGAAGACGACGAGCTAGCCCAGATCCACACCCCTACTATAATCCAAGATGCAACAACCACTATCACCACCGTCCCGACTACCACTAACACTACCAATAACAAACCCGAAAAGCGCAAGCCAGGCAGACCCCCAAAGAACCCCAAACCACCACGCAACGAAGACGACGACCAGCCAGGATTGATATCAAACGACACCACCGCATTCCCTATACCTCCAGACACCACCACCACCGACACCTCAGCCGACCCCCTCACAACAACAGAACACCAAACCACTACAACCACCACCGACCCACCCCCGCAAAAGAAACAAGCCAAAGAGCCCAAAAAGAAGAAACTCAAACGCGGCAAAACCACCTCCATAACCCTAACAAAAACGTATGAATCTGACGTCGAAGACGACGTAATCTGGGTAGACGAACGACCAGTCTCCACAACAATCACCCCCCAAACCGAAGCAGAAACACAACAACCCGGCAACATCCCTGCACATGAAGAGACCACTCCCACAATCCAAAACCCAGATCCAGAACCCGAACCACAGCCAGCACCAGCACCAGCACCCAAAAAGCGCGGCCGCAAACGAAAGAACCCCGTCGAAGAACAACCACCCGCTCCCGCACCAGCTATAGATCCCCAGCAATCATCAGATAAAGAGAACAATCAAGTACCTGACCCCAACTCACCACCACATGACGACGCAAAACCACAGCAGGACCCAAACCAACAACAACCTCAAGAGAAAGAGAAAGAGGCCGAGAAGGGGAACGAGGACATGAGCGAGCCCCAACAAGAACAGAATCCAGCACCCTCTACGCCCCTAAAACCTAGTAAAGGCCCAACGAAGCACAGTCCCATATCGTCCACGACTAAAGTGCCTTATCGGGTTGGGTTGAGTCGGCGAGCGAGAATTGCGCCGTTGTTGAAGATTGTCAGACGGTGATGTGCTGTACGGTGAGGAGTTTGTGGTTTGCGATTGAGGAGTCTGATCCCTTTGTAATCAATGTGTTTATCTATATTATTTCTGTCTTCTGTGGACGGATGAGTCGTGGGTGCATTGCATTGTAACTAGTTTGTTCGGTTATGACTGGCGCGATAGTTATCGGGGCATGAGTAGTTATCGGGGTATGAGCTATGAACGGCGCGGAGCGCGGTATACCATCTGGCGTTGTGGATTCACTTATCGATTGATTGAAGGATTATCTTTTTTATTTCTATGCTCATCGGGTCATGCGATGTGATGCTATATTGGGGACAAGTCTATCGAGCATCATGTGCCATGCCAATAGCATGAGTCAAATTGTAAGACTAGTCTAATGAAAGTACAGACCAACACTTCTTTCTAAAGCACCTCACTGCGTAAGATGATGCGCTTCCGTGACCGACTGTAGTATACACAGCTAAGCCGTTGTATGATATAAAGAAGGTCAGGCTTTCCGCCCACCATATCAGCTTAATCCATCAACACCACGAGGAACAACAATATCACAATTGCCACCGATGAGCTTAGCTGCAGAGCCCTCCCTTCTGACTTCGCCGGCTTCGTTGGTTTACCGGAACCAGCATTGGGGGCACCACCGCCTTTGACGGTACCAGCATTGTCGCCGCAATTACCATTATCAGGTCGACATCCAGAACCGCAAAATGTAGACATGCTGCCACAGAAACCAGTGCCACTGCAGCAAGGGCCGAACCGCGACCCAAGACAAGTGATGTTTCCACCACACATGCCATCAACTGATACAGTTTTGGCAACATCATTCTTGGATTTAGACTTTCGCGTTTGTCGATCGTCGAAGGCCTCGTCCTTACGATACCAGAGCTCAGGCGGATCACCCAGGCACTCGCCAACCGTCACGGCGCGGTAGCCCTCTGCGATAAGCTTCTTCAACATGTACTCGGTGAGGTTGTGGACCGTTTGTTCATGGACATCGTGAGCGATGACGAGCCAAGGCCTATCAAAATCCGTCCGTGAGGCCAAGTTGCGGTCAAAAATGTCCTTGGATTGTTGGATCAGAGCCGGGCTATCATGACTGTAATCTTCAGTGTCGATGTCGTACAGGATGACATGATATCCAAGCGAGCCAAGATCTTCCAGACAGCCTGACTCCGCGGTACAGCTGGAATACGGAGGACGCATGTAAGTAGGGATTGTGCCCAAAATGTTGCGTAGAGCAACTTCGTTCCACAGCAGCTGAACCCGGCGCTGATCTTGCGTGACTTTACTAAGGTCTTGATGTGACCAAGTATGGCTGGCAACTTGGTGGCCACTGCGATACATTCGTTGAATCAATGATGCCCAAGGCATCCCAGGACTATCAATTTCGCCCTTGGCATTGTTGTTTCCTGTAACAAAGAATGTCACTTTTGCTTCATACTTGTCAAGGAGATCGAGAAGGTCCTGAGTGTATTCCTTGGGGCCATCATCAAAGGTCAGGGCGATGGTTCCTGGAGTGGTACAAGACCGAATGAATTTTGGGCCGTAGGGTACGTTGCCTACATGAGGCCGAGGAATCTTGTCCGTAGGAGGGCCTCCTGGAGTTGTGTGGGCGTCGCAATTACCGAAGTCGATCTGACAGTCAGGAGAGCTGCAGTGGTTCTTGGTGTCCCCGCAATAACCTGTAGCTATCAGTACTGGCTAACTCGTCTACAAGTAGGTTGAAATACCAGCAGTTGAGCAGCATTTGCCCTCAGGACACTTGCCATGATCAGGGCCACAGCGAGGACTAGAACCACGCTCGACAAGCTTGTGATCAGGAGCATCTCCGTGAGTAAGGGGCAGAAGATGACTTCCTTGACGGTTAGGCTGCAAACTGAAGATGTTGCGCGCAGTCGTGCATGCCACAAGACCAAGCCCAGAAACAACCAAGCGAAGCATGTGCATTTTGAGATAGTATATTGTGATAAGATGTAATTCAGAGTAAACTGTGAGTAATGTAGACAGTGAGACTTGTACAGTTGATGAGATATGCTGTGGGAGAAAAGAAGAAGATGGTTGCAAGGTAGCAGAACTGCTTAGACGACCGGGCCTTTCTGATGTAAATGGAAGTGACGACCCTGCATGCAGGGCAAGAAGCTGCCGGCGAATGCGTTGAGACATTGCGACGGAAGGAGCTTATTCATAAGGATCAGTCGAAGAGATATTGCAATGACGGTCCGGCTGAATTAGAACAGGCAATGATTAGAAAGGAACGCTAACCTATTTCATAGATCATTGACTTGACTGGATGAAAATGTTCTCGACTACTATTCCCAAGATTAGGAAGTGCTGTGGAACTCCATTGATGGGCACTGGGGGGACGCTGCATTGCATTGCTTTCTTCTTTTCATTAAGGGTATGGTCATGGCACCCAGAGAACTGGAAGGCTCATCATGTCTATAAGGCGAGTCCTAATTACATGGGAAGCCGCCGTTCTGGTAATAAAACTTGAGGCTACCAGCACAAAATCATGTCCCTCACGCAATCGAGCCTACGGAAAGCGATATTGGGATCCGGTTGACTACTATAAAGCCGGGCCGTGAGCAAGGTTATAGAAGTGAGATAGGATCGTTGCCGACTTACTTGTGCTAAGTTATCCTCGCCAACAGCAGCAAAGACATAAGGGGCTAGTGTAGGAAGATGAGGACCAAACTTGGCCGGGGCACTTTTCGCTACACCACCGACAGTGGCAATGAGGTGACGCCGATGGACTGTACTAAGTTGTGGGGAGTTGAATCTTTGGACCAGCCCCTGGACAAAAGCGCTAAGTTGAGCATCGGAGAAGTGGAGCACGAGGGCAGATATGGCCGTCAGAGCCCTTTTGGTGACCACGGTGCCAGCTGTATCGTTATCGACGATAGACAGGACGGAGTTTTGCAAGGCAGTCAATTCGGGTTCTTTCAGCAGGGGGCCAAAGCAAGTGACAACCTGAATGAGTACATCAATAGCATCACTGCTGAAGCCCTTTGATGGATCCTTCTCCAACATGCCCTTGACGATCGAGCCACGCCGACTAGTAGGGGATGGAGTCGGGCCAGTCAATCGGGGAATGAGGACGCGAGAGACGGCCGAATATGCCATTGTCGCATCCTGACTTGGAGGCTGACCCGGTTGCGGCCGAGGTAGAGCTGTCACAATGTATCTCAGAGCAGTATTCGGAACGGATGTGTCAATGGTTTGCGAGGCTGTCAGGTTGGTGAGCTTTTCGAGAAGAGATGCAAGGCTTTCGAAGGGCAGTCGAAGGACAAGAGGACCAAGACTAGACAATGTACATCGAGTTAGTCCGATTAACTTATTTCAAGACAGGACTTTGACAAACCATTTCAGGGCTTGGTTCTGGACATCGCCATGTTGGTCATCCAAGGCCTTTAATAAGCCCTCAGCCAGTCTTGATGAGGAGACTTGGTCGTGAGCCAGATAGGTGGAATTAGGATTATTTAATATGCCAAGTAGATCATTTAGCGACATGTATCGCATGTCCGGGTCAGGGTCGCTCAGTTTAGAGAGCAGGCTGTTAAGGCTGTGCTGCACCGACTGCCGGTCCGCCATGTTGAAGCCCCGCAGTGAGTTTCGGCGTCAGGATAGTTGAGAAGAAAGAGAACCCCTGAAGGTAAAGCGTGGGGAGCCTTAGAGAGAGTGTATCTCCAATAGTCGGTATAAGTTGTCACGCAACGAAATCAGGGATGAAGTTGGGACTAAAGAACCACCGAAGAAGCAACAAGTGGGATGATGAATGGGGAGGAGATAGAGTTAGAGTGGTGTTTGTTATCGGAGCTGCTTGTGCAGCCTCAGGCATGAACAAGCTCCTACGGCGGGCTCTTGAGACTATTAGTGCATGTTTCATACTTGACCGATTCAGCACCACGCAGTGACCTCAAGAACGTGCATTGACAGGGCCAATTGAGAAGAACGTAAAAGGTCTTAGTCTAGGCCATATTGCCTGCTTACCATGCTAAGGAAGATAAGTGGCTATAACCTTCAGATGTTGAGCATGCGGTCCATGCGAGACGGAACCACAAGAGCCAGTTCTTCCCCGCACGGTGCCATTACATCATCCGCGGTAATTACAGGTCGTAGGACATGGGGAGTACTTTGCTCCTCTATAGTGAGCAACGCTAAGTACCAGGTAAACCAGCGAGTAAGTAACCGGTAAAATGACCGTAGCAGCAAGGAAGGAGAGCCACTCCGGCAGCTCCCGCTCCGAAGAAGTGGTGACCAGGAATGGAATTGCAACGTAACGAAGGCCAGTCCGGGACTGCCTTCAATTAGGTCATACCATCCCCGTCCAGCCTCCTGCTTTCCCCTCATACTTTCTCTTCCTACTTCTTCTCCTCCTTCTTCCGCTGCCTTCTTCTTCTTCCCGTCAATTGCATCCCATTGCTACTGTGTCTGCTGAGCTATATCGTCTTCTAAAATTCTCCCCTAGCCATAACTCATCTCACAATGGTTCTCGCACGCCCTCATATCCTCCGCACATCTGCTAGGGCCATCGGTGCCGGCATCGGCGTCGCAGCTCGTCGTCCTCCCACACAGCAATTCGCTCGCAGGGGTTACGCCCAAGCGCATGACGCTCCCAAGTCCTCCGATCTACCATGGTAGTTATCTTCTCTCTGAAGTCAAGTCTCACTGGTTCAGGGCACAGGACTAAAGACGCAATTCAACTAGGCTCATCGCATCTCTGGGTCTTGGTGTCCCAACAGCATTCTACCTGCTTCAGTCCGGACCCAAGAAGACCCCTCATCACGGCCACGAGGATCACGGCGCTGGCCACGTCGAGAAGGAGGAGAAGGCCCCTGCGGGTGAAGCTACTCCTCAGCCTGATCGCGATGCAGAGCAGAAGACAGATACGTCTTCCTCTGCGGAGGGTACGCCGTCAACGGACGGAAAGCCGCCCTCGGATGTAGACCAGGTAAGCCATTGATCTCCCGGCAGTAGCAATAATTTCACTCCTTTGTTTTGAAAGGATGCTCGACTAACTACTTTCCGAATGTAGCCCTCCAGTCGCAAGGAGACTGGTAATTCGGCGACCATCTCTGGCAAGCAGGAGGGTCTCTCTAACACCAACACGGACAACCCGTATGTGAACGAGCCTGGAAAGAGCGCAAAGGGCGAGGGCGAAACCGAAACCGCCAAGGTGAAGGGGACCGTTTCCCCCGAGCGCCCCCAGGCTTGATCAAAAGTGACCGTGGGCCATACATGTGAAAAGTCCACTTATGTCTTTGACGAAGGCTACTGTATTTTATCGTCCATGATCGCGAGCTAGATCACCAAAGAGTTGCCAATCTAACTTTTGCGTCTACTACTTTGTAGCGTTATGTTCCTTTTCCTCCAAGAGTGTGCGGTCTAGGCTGGCAGGGAGGACTCTGCTCAGATGTGATAGCTCTGCCGCAGGAGTTACACCAGTGACACAAGATATGTGTCTGGATAGTACGGAGTATAAATATATCTACTATTTCTGTTTATAGGTATGGAGGACTCACTATCGAGTTTGGTACTGAAACTCTTCCTTACATCACTTCTGCACCCAGCCGTTTGTTGGGGCACTTCCATATTGTGTATTTGGATTTCCCATTTGCCACTGCTAGTACTACTCTAGTATATAGATATAGTACGCGTCACTAGTAGTAATAGTAGGACATGGGGAAATTGGCTGCTCATTAAGGGTGTACGCGCTTGGCTACCTACATAGGAAACACTATGGACTGCCGGTAGTACTCAGATGATGGTCAGGTGTGAAATTGAAGCAGTATGGAAACCCCAGAGGCGTGTTGGCATACTACCAGCACTACCGAGTAGTACTAGTAGTTTGATTCCTTGAGTGAGAGGCGATTGGTTTGTTTACGAAAGACATACACTTAATTGCGGGCTCTAAAAGCCAGTAATCGACGAGGAACTAAGAATAGTAGTGCTCCGCAGCGTGCAGAATTGCTAATGGATTATACGACGATAATATATCATGATCATAGTCGTTGTTTACTACTACTACTGCTCTATACTAGGACTCCCATTCCGACTATCCGCCGATACCGACAAATTACTTCTAATTCGACGATCGCAGCGCTCACCCCAACTTCAAACCTTGGGGATTATAATCGCAACGAACACGAGCCAGTGGTTATCAATCCAATTTGCCCGAAACACCAGGCTCGTGCCTTGCAGGGTCTGGCGTTGAAAACACGACGACTCGGGCAGATTAGACCGTGACGGATAAGACTGGTCCACTGGGTACTACAGTACTTACTAGGGAGCCTGTGCTCCTTGCGTCGCGAAAATTAATATCGAATGAATCCCTAAAGGGATCGACGGTGGGCGACAATTGGGTACTTTTTTTTCCCTACTACGTATCCACAATGCTCAGACTCTCTTAAGACTAAGTAGACTCTACTCCGTAAAGAGGATGGAGTCGGTCACTGGCAGAAGTACTGCAATTGGCTGGCGAAGGGATCCAGTGCCAACTCAGACTGCAATTGTCCACTTCAGGTTAAGGGATTGATTGTGTTTGCAATTTTAGCTGTGCTTTGCGGGTCTGGTTGGGCTGGCTATTGCGATGGCCCATAATATTTTCGTTATTATCAACTATTGTTGTTGTTGTTGTTGTTGTTCTGATTATTTCGATGTGTAGCTCCGACGCAAGGTGTTATTATTATTATTATTTTCTTTTTTCCATCCTCCAGGTGCAGCAGCAGGTGTTTCAGGAGAGGCACGATCTCGGTGGAAACACGGGGGGATCAACCATGAGTCCGGGTCCCTCTCTCTCTGGAACCAAGGAACCGTGGGGAAGGGGAGACAACAAGGAAACAATGGAACTAGAGTTGGGCAGTTATAGAAAAAAATACTTGTCAACAAAAAAGAATAGCTAGCCAACCACTAACTAATTCCAGCGTAGATTGATTTTGACTGGGGAGGGTTGCCCCGAGCACCCGCCCAGCCCGACTTGATCGATGGACACTAAAACCCAGTAAACCAACTAAATAATCCAACTAAACCCGTGCCGCTGAATCTCCACTCGCCCAAGAATAACAATTTATCGACTTGTAGATTCCCTCTTTCTTCCTCCTCTCCCCTCTTCCCCCAATCTTACTTACATATTCCCTCCCATTCATTCATTATTCCTCTGTAACTAAGCTACTCCTCGATCCTTGCTTATACTCTCTCCACATACATCCCCCCCCCCATCATTGCGCATCGCCTTCTGCAACCAACCCACCACAGTCCACCCCCGATGCCATTCCACCATCCTTCAGCTCCATGGTCCGCCTGCATCTGCTAATTTCCGCTGTGCTTGCATCCCGCCTGGCGTCCTGTGAATCGCGACGCGCGCCGACCTGAGCTTCAGCCTCTGCGACCACCACCCTCCCTCCCCCCCCTCTCCCCTCCGATCCAGAAAATGAGCGACAATCCACCATGGCTGGACCAACTCTCCGACGATTGGGTGCCCGTCCCTGTGCCTGGAACCCCAACCAGCCCGGTCCCCTCTCGGTCCATCTCTCATTCCCGCCAGTCCAGCTTACAAAACTCTCCTAGTCGCATTCCGGTTCCCGCGCGTCGCTCTGTCGCCCCGTCGCCATCGCCTATTGATAAAAAGAAGGTTTCTCGGCCCTGTCATTTCGTGAAAAGGGAGCCGCCCACGCCGAAGACCCCTCGTACCCCCAAGACTCCGTCCAAGTTGCGATCTCCGGTCCCCGATAAGACGAAAAAGAGCCCGCGACCAAACCCACCGTCCAGGAACCCGTCCTCCAGGCGTAAACAATCGTCCACTATGGACACGAGATCGCCGTTGCGATCGGTCTCGAACGCCTCCGGTCAGTCGGTCCAGCAAAGCACTGTTCAAATCAAACCAAAGAAGGCCAAGGGCGGCGAAGGGACCCCGGAATGGCGGAGGAGACTGGTCCATGGAGATATCCCCTCCGGTGAACAGCGCGATCTTTTCGCCCCAATTGGGCTCGAGAGTGTGTTCAAGCCACCCACCCCCGGAACCGAGAAAACGCAAGATGAAGCCCTTTCCAGAATGAAACACTCGGATAGCGTCTGGGACTTCTCCACGTCCTCGGACCGACGCGACAATGCCACTTCGAACGGACCTCCTGGTGATGGTCAACATGAGTTTGGTGAGGGTGCCGGCCATTCCTCCTCTCCGAAAAGCCCCCGATCCCCGACCAAGTCGTCGGGTCAAGATCAAGGAGAACTCCGGTCGACTCCAGGAAGCCCCCGAGGATCGCGCAACGGGATGCTGGATGTGAAGAAAGGGCCTACGAAATTTGTGTTGAACCAAGGTGATGGTCATGAGGATTCTTGGAATGGCACGCAAATGAGATCGGCTAGTGGATTGGAAGATATGCGAAATGAAGATTTCACGCCCATCACCTTCTCACAGCCGAATACAATGGACGGAAACGCTGCATCAGAAGTAATAAGGTCCGCATTGAAGAAAGTGACGAACAAGCTCGAAAGACTACACTTGCCGCCCTATGAACGGCCCGACTCTCCGGCAAGTGATAGCTTCCTGCTAAATCAACCGTCGGAGGCCCCCGTCGACCCGTTACCGGAAGATGATCTACTAGATGTTACGAGTCATTCTCTGCCCAAGGACCTCTCCATGGGGACGCTGGATTTCCGGGGCCGCGGAGCTTTTGCGCACCTGCGACGAGACGACTATCTGAACGAAGGCTCTTTCCAGAAGCTACATCTGTCACCGCCGCCCTTTCCCTCTGAACGACTGTCACCGTTCCTGCCTTCCAACCACAGAATCCGGAGCTCACCACCTTTCTACCAGAAGACTAATCCAGTAACGGATCCCCCGACGCTCCCTCGACCATCGTCTGCGCATATTGCTGCTCGACCCGGAACCGGAAGAACCGACGTCATGCCGTCTTCAGGCAGCCCTTTGAAGCTGTTCGGAAACCATGATACCTTTACAAACAACAGGCTATTGCGACGGATGAGCCAATTTGAAGAGACCTATGGAGGCTTTTCGGAGGATGATGAGCCCGTGTCCCCTTCAGAAGAAGCGCGGCGTAAGGGCGAGTCGAGGAGTTTCATGAGCGCACAACAAGACGCGTTGGGTGAAGCCAGCGTTAGAAGACACGAGCGGCCGAGATCGCGAAACACGCCGAACCCTCGACTCAACCGATTCGGTGACGGGGAGCTGGACCATTTTGACTTCTCTGATACCAGCCCATACGAGCCAAAGCTGCTCAATAACGAAGTTGTAGGCTCTAATCAGCGGCCCCCTTCGCGGAGGCTCTCTGTCGAACGGGGTTATCTGGGCCGCCGTTCGTATAGAAAGCAGAGCCTTGATGGTGGGTCAAACAGATCTACAAAGAATTACAAGTCAACAGAGACGTTAGAGTCGGCCTCGACTGCCAATGCCCCTGATAAACAGGGCCTATGGACAGTCGAAGAGTTCCACCACTCCGAAACGGGGTCCAGGCCGCATTCCCCAGCTAAAGACCCCCATCCAAAGAGGCGTCGAACCCTTCTTCAATCTCACGGTCTCATGCCAGATGATGCTGGATCTGGGAAGGTCACCGGTCAGGCTCCAGATAACCTCACGTTGTTACAAAGAAGTTTGATGCAACACGGTGTGACGGAGGAGGACACTGAACGTTTTCTCCGGTCTCAATCAGCGTACCCAGCCAACACCCCAACTCCGAGTCAAGTAAGATCGCTCTCGAGGAAAAGGCCATCGTCAAGCCGAAATCATAATCGTCTTGGGCATGATGACCATGGCATTCAGACGTTCTCCCCTCCGGACAATGTGATACCGATTGTGAAAGTCAATGGCGTCAACACGGAAATTCGGAAGGGGTCAATCACTACGCAAGATTTCCTCAACGAGGCAACTAAGATTATGGATATTATCCGATCCAAGGGCCGGTCTGCTGGCGGACTTTCCAGTGTAGAGGAGTCCGATGCTGAGGACCAGGACGAGAGCGGTAGTTATGAAGACGAGTCCACTCGCGAAGAATTCTCGCGCCCTCCGAGCCGGGAGGGGGGCGATATGCGGAAGCTAAGGGAGCCCCACGAGCCAAACCCTCGTATACTGAGCCACTTGAAGAAGTTCCAAGAGGATGACGATCAAGAATTTGAAGTCAACGGGTCCGATATGTCCTTGAACTTGGATCAGGATGACACCAACTCCGATGGTGCCAATTCGATTTGGGACGAAGGCGAAGGAAATGAGCAGAACGATAAGGCCGACGCTGAAACCCGAAACTTGGATGCTGAGCAGCATACACGCAGATCGTCCGCTCCGACTGAAGACGGCGAAGAAGACGATGATCTTCCTGACCTTCTAACTATCAACACTCATTTCTCCGGCAAAAGCCTCAGTGCACGTTCCATACCCACAGGCTCTTCTTCACAGAGCTCGCATGCAAAAGGTGTTCTGTCGTCAGACATCGTGTCCCACCTTATTCCGGAGCAAGTAAATGGC